GGAGGGAAGCCTTCTGCTTGCTCCAGCTCCGTGGCCACGGCCGGCTGAAAGCAGGTATCTGGGGTTTATTTACCTTCTATAATTGAAACTTTGTTGCTTTGAGTGGAGCTCAGAGCCAGCGGGAAGCTTGGCTTCCTCCATCATTGGAGCAACCAAGCCTCCTGCTTGCTCCAGCTCTGTGGCTGCCGGCCGCCATCTTGGTTGGGTTAATTTGCATATCATCGCTCTGATTGGCTGGTGGGTGTGGCTTAAGGCATAGAGAAGGTACAATCAATTTGCATGTTTTGTCTTTTATTAATTAGTGTAGATATCTGAACTAGGTATTTTTTACTTGCTTCAGCAGAGTTCTTGACTACAGTGTTTTATAGTAATTGTATAAAATTTGTCATAGCTTTATGGTAGCATTCAACTTCGTATTTAATTTTTTTTTTTAGTTCATTTACTGTGCCTTAGGGAACCATTATATAAACCAAACTTTTAATTAAACTATAACTTTGAAACATCATGAGTAAATCCATGATGAGGTAAAAGATTACAGTTGTATACTTTAATTTTAATGTTTCCTACATTCTCCCAACCAAAATCCTCTTTACCTCACTTCATTATCTTTTTCTTGAGCCCCCTTAATCTTTTTCCACCACCAAGCTAATGCATTTTGTAAGACCTCTACATCTTTTATTAAAAACTAAGTTCAAAACAGATAAAGGCAATACCAAAAAATGGGAGTGGATACTATTAAGCTATTAAAGGGTTCATTTTTAACTGCTTTGAAAGTATTTAAAGGCAATCTTAGAATATTAAAATTTTTAATTTCGATTTTCTTTTGTATTTCAGTTCCATATGAAAAGAAATATTTATCAGGTATGTAATGGTCTTAAATTTTTTTCACTAATGACCCTCTCTAAAAAATTAAACATAAAGTAGAACAATTTTTATACAAATGTAGAAAGGTCTCTTAGCTTTGTAATAAGACTGACATTTTAAATATGATTAACTGCAAGTTATGTAAGAAATGAACTTTTTTAAAACACCAATTTTTTTCATTGAACTCCAATGTTTGTGTGGGAAAGGACTATCTTTTCTTCAAAAAAATTTCCCCTCAGTTGTAATTACATGTCTTGAGGGCTTTCTAAACACATTTCTTAAAAGCTGCAAGATAATACATGTATTTACATGGTTCAAAAGCAAACCCAATCAAAGGCCCTGGAGGCAACTTGAGCACAGGCCACTTGCAGAATGTAAAAACACAAGAAGTATATATACTATGCCCTACCAATGCGGAATGCTATTCAGTTCTTAAGATACTAGGTATTTTAGTTTACTAGTTACGGTGTGTGGTTATGTCTATTATGCCGCTGTCTTAATTACCATGTTTTCAGACTAAAATTTTCTTTTTTTGAGCTATTGTCATGTAATCACTAGTTAGTGCTGATTATGAATATTATTATACATTCATTAATAGACTGAAATAAGAGCAGTATGTTCACACTGGTCAAGTCAGAGTGCTATACTGCAAATGGGCTGTGTTAAGTTTAATAAAAACAATTAACTATGAAAGAATCCCATTTGAAGTTTACAGATTTCTTGGCTTAACATTATTTCACTTAAATGTCTCTAAAGAAGCCTGTCAATATTTTAGAAATATCAATGGCTTTTCCTCATCTTAACAGATAACTTCTGGCAAGATTTTTCTTGCTAAGCTTTACATTTCCAAGTCTCACTTTAACAAGCACCTGCTGAAAAGAGCATTATGAGAATATTTTAGTAATCTCAATGCAAAAATACATTTTTAAAGAAAAAACAATTCTGGGATTTCTCTTCATTTACTTTTACTATGAAATACAAATACCTTCCTCAAAGCATTGTCCTCATCCTGACTCCTAAACAAAGTGATTTTGCTTGAGTTATTCAACTAAATTCTTATAGAAAGGTTCCAAGGTTTTGATAACCAAAACTGCAAGGTTGTACACAATTACTTCAGGAATACAAAAATAGTTATTTGAATAAATTCAAAAGACAAAAAGGGATTTTTGAATCTTAGAGAATTGAAAAATTTACCTGAAAAATTTAAATATGGCAGTTGTGTTCAAGCAAAAAAATATAAACCTTGATAGTAATTGTATAATTTTTCTCATCTGTGTGGGAAATTCCCAAAATAGCCAAGTATTTACATTATAAAACTATTAGTGCCCCCCCCCCATACAGTATTAGCAATTTATGTACCTGATTTCCCATATTTTCTTTTGTCTTTTCCTTTACAGATAACCACATTTTAATATCAGCTTTGGTGATTGCTAGCACAGTAATTTTGACAGTTTTGGGAGCAATCGTTTGGTTCCTGTACAAAAGAAATTTGCATTCTGGTTTCACCACCGTTTTTTCAGTTGCACCCCAATCACCTTATAACGATGACTGTGTTTTGGTAGTTGCAGAAGAAAATGAACATGCTGTTCAATTTGACTGAAACTTTGGAAATCTTGGATTAAGACATCAAACACACTGGCAGTGATTCATGTGTAAGACTTTAATATAAAACTTCACAATGAGTTTTTATGGTATATATCCTTATTTCAGTAACATCCCTCATTGCATTTGAAAAAGGAATGATCTTAGGATATGTTAGTGGTTATAACCACCTCCCCAAATGTTACTTTTTACTTGCAGGAAAGCTTAAAGCACAGCAGAAAAAAAAAAAAAAAACACACACCCCAAACCCACTCTATTTGTATTACCTGCTATATCTTCCCTCCCTCCTCCCATTTACTTGAACCACCTTATAGCTGGGAAAAAAATTCTACCTACCACTAGTTTTAGCAATCGCTACATCTTGCTCTCTTATTAATAAACATGCACGGGGAATAAACCTAACACTTTATACTATATATATATTGAGATATATGAGTACATGCTGGTTACTATGGCAGATAATTTGTTTTCATCTTCAAAATTTAGATTTTGAAGATGTAGAATTTTGCAAGAGCTGCCATTATGGTAGAATTTAGATGTAGAAAATTTTAAGGATGTTAACACTATTTCATATAAGTTGCGTAATTTTACAATTTCGTTACTTTTTGGACAACACACAGTATTTAGCACTGATCCCAAATGGTTAGAATTTTAATAAAATTTTTTGAAACAAAAAAACTATAGCCATACCAGGAAGGTGGTGGGAGGCAGGTAGTAAGGATAACACTTGAAATATAATGCCTTTACTTTTCCCCTACCACCAGACGTACTCCCATATAAGGTTATCCTATACCCCTCCAGCACTGACCTTTATATTTCAATGACATAAGCAAAAAATGCAGAAAAACACTGTACTATATGGTAGTGATGACGCTTAAAAGTTTTCAGCACCTTTCATGGACAATTTAAGGGTGAAAAATAATCATTTTGGGCGTCAAAAATGAAAATGGAAAAAAGCTGAGTTATTTTAAGTTTTCTTTATAGCTTAAAAACTATTAGAAAACAAAGAACATATAGAGTTGATATACAATTATATTTACTCCATTTAGAAACACAAAGCTCAGTTAAATCCTCTCTCAATAACCCACAGTCCACACTACCAAGTTTGATCAAAGGCAACAGTCCCAGCTTGTGTCATGTTTCCCTTCTCACAATTAATGGCACTTTTGTTAAGGAGATATTAACAATAAAGGCTATGTGGTATTAAAGAGAAAATGTTACAGAAGCTGTATTATACAATTATGCCCTGTAAGAGCTTTAATTTTTTATTTTATTTTATGTGGTGATTTAGAAGGTTATTGTTGATAAGCTATTAAGTGGTACTAAAGATAGTGAACATTAGACTGGAATTCCTTCTTGCTTTCCTACTCAGATTCTAGGAGTTTAAGAACTAAGGACGATCCCGATCTCTTAATACTTTCTCCTGTTGTCACAAATCTCTACAATGGCCAATATGGTAGTTAACTTGCAGCACCCACAAAATGTGTGGCTTTTACATTAAAAATAACTTAGTTCCTCAATTACACTAGCAACATTTCAAGTGCTCAACTCAACATGCAATTTAAAATATTTCCACTTTCACTGGTTAGTGCTGCTCTAGAATCTCCCCTCTCCTTCCACTCAATTCTCATACAACCAACTAATTTCTTCTGTTCGTTTTGATAACTTCTACCTAATGGCAGCTCTTGCAAAATGGCTGTTTTAAACTGATACCCCTGTGTTTATTTTTCAAACAAGTTATTAGAGGACCCTGGTAATGAAATGTTAAATCTTAATTTTCTTTATGTATCAGAACATCTGTAAACAGGCCCCTATTTCTATTTAAAGGTCAACAGATTAACTGGAACATTCAAATCTGTATTTTTATTAACAAATAATATGCTTGTTTATTTATACTCAGAATGTTTAAATTGCTTTCTTTAAGACCATGGTCTAGTTAATTTGGCAGATATCTAGGAAGAATAACATTACATTTTTCCTAGGAATTTGCAATCTTTGTAGTGAATAGTGTATGGTGTCCTATTTTTGTTCAGAGTTTGTGATAACCAATGGAAATATTTTTCTTATTCCCTCTAATTCCCATTTACAGGATATTAGAAGCAAATATAATATTAAATATGTAGTGCTAAGAACTACAGAATACTATAAAGCTCAAGCCACTGTCACTTAGTATTTTAAAAAACTATAAAATTGTACACCAATGGAATTTTTACCATTTAATTTTTCAAATAAAAAATATTGTGGCTTAAAGCAGAAGACACTTTAGTTTTTTAATACTGAATTCTAATAAAAGTATAAATGTTTCAAATTCAAAGCAACCCTAAGGACCCACAGAATAGATACTGGAACTGGCATCCTTAAGTTAGCATTTTTGCTTTACATAAGGTAATGAACGCAAAACTAACAAGTTGAGCAAATGTTTTAGAAACATTTATAGTTTTGTATGAAATGGAATTTGAAAATTTAATAAAATTCTTGCTATACGGTTTGAAGTCTACTTTGAACACCAAAAGCAAACATTTCAAGCTATAAAGTAAATCAATCAGTATACTTTATTTTGAGCCAAGGTTTTACATGAAGACCAACAAAGTAAATGTTGATTCAGATTTGAGAAATTACATGGTTTCTATTTAGATTTGGAAAAAGAAGTTTGTTGCCATGGCCTACGACTTTATTCAACCTAAAACCATATGAAAGTGTTTTTGAGTGTATCCTAAGGTTGCTCACAGAGAAAATACACTGTTCTGGAATTATACACGACGCATGACCACAGTGTAGATCTATTCATGGTGAACAGGTAAAGTTCTTTTGTTCTCCAAATGTAGTGAAAATAGTAAGCCACTAAATAAATGCTCAGATTAACAACAGTTAAAAACGGTCAGGATCCAAACAGGTTTTTATTTACGAAGAAGTGACAACACTAAAAAACATATTGAAAACCAGTGTTTTAAACTTTGAATGTGGGATTTAAAAATATTCCATTAACTTGAGATTGCAATAATTTTCTTTTTACCAAATAGCACTTGACTGGCAATTCTGGTATAATTTAGAGCTGAAATATTCCTAAAGGAATATCTACATACTATGGCCTATCAAATATAACCTGCATTTTTCAAATCAATACAAAAATGTATCCATCATTTATACATTTTAAATTTATATACTTTTCTAAAAATTAGGTATTACCGCTAAATAAATTTAGAATTTAAAGTAAATTTGGACACCTAATATAATGCTCTTCATAACTTACTCCCCCCTACTCATTCTTTTTTCTTTTTAAACACCGGAAGCAAATGATTATGTAAATGAGACCGCAACTTAAGGCATTTTAAAAGGAAAAATAATTAGGTGCCATTTGGCATTTTATTTTGAAAGCAGTTTTGTCTCATTTTTTTTCACTAGCAAAGGGCTAAAACACGAACCATTTTCATAAATATGACTACAATAATCAGAACAAAAAAAGGGTTGTAGGCATTGCTTAGATATTTAAAACAATATAACACTTCCCCACTCACCTAAAAGAAAAATACTTTTGATTACCAGTTTATTAACATCAGTGACTGGCCATGTTAAAAGGTCCAGCAAGTAGAATTTTAATTCAGCAACACTTGAGAATGAATATATATATATATATATACACATGCATACGTGTGTGTGTATATATATATATATATATATTCATTTTATTTATATAATGTATTTAATAGGCATTCCCCCACAAAATTAACTCATACTTAATTGCCAGTTTTAATAAACACTTGTTAACAGATCATCCATTTGTCTTATATGAAGTTAGGCAATATCAAATGTTCTGTTATGTTCTCCATCTTCTTCAGAATCATCCTCTGAAGCTGTTGAAAGAAAAGAGGATGATCAAGAATGATTTTAAGGGGGATGAGAATGGAAGTGTAAATATGAAGCCAGAAGAGCAATGACTTGTAAAATAAAATCCCAACGTAATAAACTCTTTGGTCAAAATGAAGATATGACAGGGGTTAGGGTAGTTTGACTGTGGGTAATGCCATTCCAAAACACCCCCATCCCTAAATCTTGTTAGTTTCTATAAAAACAAAAATGTTTTAAAATGTGGTTCAAGAACATCTTCTAAAAAGTTTCTGAGATGTTTGTGCTCATATTAGCCAATTTCAATAAGAGAAAAAGTAAACTTAAAACAAGTGCTCCTCACACACCTGAATCTGGCTTATTACTGCAACATGTTTTGATGCATCCGGTGAGAATGGAAAAAAATGTGCACAGAATAGATTATGGGTATTCTTGCAAATTACATCAAAGCTGTGTCTATACAATGCCAAGAAAAAGCTCTATTTCGTTATTCAAAATAGCTTTCTATAGACACAGCCTAAACTAACTGGATTCAGTGAAAACCTTTTGTTGAAATTACTCCTATAACTCCACATTGCCAGAAAGTTATCATTTTGCAGTATTTCGGACCTCAATTTATTTTAGCGTCATTAGTGGTTCAAGAATTTAATATGAAACATCCTGTAATGTCTTTAGGAAGAACATAAGTATTCTGTAAACTCTCTGCATGTTGAGGAAAATGGAAGTTCACTAAAATAAACATTGAACTAGCATTTCCCCTATTATCAAGGGCATTTACTCTTCTTGTGTTAACACTGGGTGATTTAAGAGTAACCAGCAAATGACGTCCACCAGAAAAATATGCTACATGTACAGTTTCTCAGTCTATTCGTTGATCTTGCAGAAAACTTAAATGATACCAAGCATAAAAGCTCATGAATGCATAAACACAAGGGTTAAGTTTTATGCTGTATCATGGAGCAGTAGCAAACTAAAAGTAAATTGCTTTGTAAAGAACTTATGTTTTCTATTTTATTTACTCCACAGGTGAAAATTCGGTCAGAATCCATGTTCAGAATGTTAATATGCTGGTATTTATTTGGTAGTTAACTTGTAGCACCCACAACATCTCTCATTCTCAGCTGAATTTGAGTATATTTCACCTCCATCTTTTTTCCTCTCTCTCATGTTTAGGAGTTGACACTTATGTTTAGGGAGCTAAGTTATAAAAGAGAATTAAAAAAAAAAGAATCTGGGGAAAATACTCACTGAAATTATATCTGACAAAGTATAAATTATTTACAAAAAAGGGGATAAGATGATATAAAGGAAAAAAGATTTACATCCCATTTCATATACCATTTGACTCTTTTATATACAATTTTTACATATACTAACTAAATTCTAAAATTGCATTATCTGGTTGTACCTCTACTCTTTTTAAAACTTAAAAATAGCACAGAATGACAAAAATCCATATCTTAGAGTAATCAAAGAATTAAAAAGTTCTTATGAGAACTAAATCCCCCTCAAACCTTATTTCAAAAGATGCTGAACACTTGCTAAAGATGAAAATGTTATGCACACTACAGACAACACTTTCAAGTATTTTGAAGATGATATAGAAGGTAACCAACTGGAGAATACATATTTTAAAACACTTCAAAGAGTGCATTCAAATTTGATCATAGGGAGCCACTTGCTTTGGGTGAAAAAGTACTAAACAGGGTAATCTTGGAGTCCCAGGAACTATTCCAGAGCCACCAGTATCTGCGTCCACCTGGTATGAAGCACCATGGAGGTTGTAGGACTTTGAGAAGATGGTATGTTGTACAGATGCCTGTAAAAATTTGGACATTAAATGCCTTCATATAGGAGCCCAGGCAGAAGTCCTAATGCTAGAACAGGATCTAAAAATGTCCATGAGGACCTGAACAAGGAGCAAAACAAACAAAAAAGAAACAACTAACCCACCACTATGGCTTCTGTTATGGATTCAGAATTAGCGCTCTTTTACCCCTATTTTCTTACAACTATACATAAACCCAGGAAAATCTTTTATGATCTAACAAAGCTGAATAACAAAATTTCATGCACAAACACAAAAATCTAAAAGATTAAAAAGTGTCGTTTGATTAGTAGTCAAACGTCTTAAGTGTGAAAATTAAGGTGATCAGAAACAAAATTTTATTTAATGGAATATACTGATGGTTAAAAGTAGATCCTTCTGTACTTTAAAATTAGTACCATTTAAAAAAATATGTTTTAAAAATCCTAATGTCAGTTGCCCAGCCGTCTTTCCCAAATCAATGGTATTAAGGCTATAAATGAAGCTCTAATTTGAGAGAGTATATACTTAAGGCTTTGCTCTGTGAGTTTAATTTGCAACAGTAAATTCAACAAGTCTGGGGAGGGGGAATTCCACCTACTTTCGAGATCTTCCATATGTGCCTGAAGAGTTCTTGCAAGGTTAATAAACTAGAAACAATGCAGAAAAAAATACAGTAGTTGAAATGTTGCAAATGGATTTGAAGAGAGATTCAGTTTAGGAGTTTCATTTCTATTTAAAAAGTCAAACACCATTTTTAAGCCTTTAAATAGGAGGGTCTTTCTCGACCCACTTCAAAAATTACTTAAGCTTAAGGATATTGTTTTTAAATTTTTAATAAATAATAAATTAATCATGTATTGAGCATGTAGAAATTGGGAGCAAATACAGAATTTGTATCGAATAACATTTCTCTTGCATAAATGTAACGCAACAATTATGAAAAAATAAAAACTTTAGAATTTGGACTCATGATTTCAATTTTAGTGGTCAATTTAGAAAATTAAAACAAGAATATTATGTAAATGTGACAACTCGAAGTATTGCACTTGATTCTATATTTTTAAAAAAATTATAAAAATGACTTGCACTTGAATATTAATTTGACTACAGCTTTTAAGCATGAATTCAATAGAACTTAATAGACTTATATGGTTTATTCATTCTTAAGAGAGAAGTCATTTTATGGCATTAACTAGATTTAGGTCAGAGGTCCTCAAACTTTTTAAACAGGGGGCCAGTTCACTGTCCCTCAGACATTCCACACATGCGCACTGCTGGCCCGGGACGAGTCGGCTGCTAAGCAGGACAGGCAGCAGCGGCAAAAACACCCGGCGGGCTGGATAAATGTTTTCGGCGGGCCGCATGTGGCCCGCGGGCCGTAGTTTGAGGACCCCTGATTTAGGTAGTACTATGATTTCTAAAATACTAAGAAATCAAGAGATCTTTGCTCAAATTCTGGATGGTCTTAAGACAGTTTATTCTCTTTTCCTCGATGATAATCTGTCAACTGGCTCACAGGTATAATAATGTGCATATGATGGTTACAGAAAAATGTTTTACCAATGTATAATATACATTACATTTTTATAATTTAAAAAATACCATAAATTGTTAAATTTTTGTCACTAAAATGAACACTTATATAAAAAAGGTTAAAGGATATATGTTTATGAACACATTTAAAGATGTGAAGTGTTCAGATAATTACAGTAATGAGATGTAGGTGGCCCTAGCCTCTGCTACACAAAATGAGCAAGGTAGCAGCATACAAATCTCCTCTGGTACACTGAGGCAAACTGTATCATTTATGACTACCTAGCAGCTAGCTTAAGTATTAAATTAAAGTAATAGTGTACAGAGCAAATACCAAATAGTCCGTATCTAAAATAGTTTGCATTATGGACTCACTTGAGAATTAGTACATTGGTAAGGTTTTACATGACAGTAACAAATAAATTGAAGTTAATTTCCTATTCTCTCTTGGTTTTTGGAGTTCAGATTTCTAAGTTATATTTCTAAGTCATCCTCCTCTCCCCTCAATTAAAAAGAGAACACTTTCCCCTTAGTGTTTCCTTTCTGTTTTTCACTGAAATATATTCCAATTACCTTTATGAGCTAGAAAATTACTTAACTAAAATAGCTTTATGAGAAAGTTAGGCTGCTTAATATAGAAGATAGCAATTTCTATTAAATCTACAATATTTTTATTTTTAAGAGACATTTTAACACAAGAAGTCCTCAAAGGAAATAGAATATGAGCATATAAAACAATCTGCTTTCCAAAACAAACACCTGGTACATCACACCCTCCCACCGCCCTCCTCCAACATTACTTACTCGGACTCGTGTGCTTGGTTCACTTGTATTTCCCATCATATCAGAAAAGCTTTGTTCGCACAAGTGCAATAACACAACTAGGTAGAGACCAGAGCTGATAAACTCATACTCAGCCTTCAAAAGAGAAGCAAACAAAAGAAAAAGAAAATGGAGAATGAAAAATTAGTAAACTTGAGATTGATAGTCATAGTACACTGATAAACTAGAGGAAATATATTCATTCATGTCTAGCTCCTAGTAAGAGATATGGTGCCATTTATTAAAACAGGAAATAAAGGGCCACCCTTCATAACATCATAAAATTTTACTAATGCCAAATAATGAGTCCGAATAGGTGTGTGAATAGCCTCTTTAGTCTCATAGTCTTCCTTTATGTAATGGTTTATATAAAAGTGGGATTTTTAAGTCATATGATTATAGAATCTGGTTCTTTATAAAGCTCATAAGCACTTTCACTGCACAAATGACTAAATATTTACTTAAAAATTATCACTTCATCTACAGCTAACTCAATATATACTATATAACTAAAACCTACTCTGATAGGTCAAATGATTCTTAGGTAATACAATTAATTTAAAGGCAATGGTAATTTAAAAAATAAACTAAAAAAGGAAATAGAGTAACTGTTACTCAAATAGTTATTTGATTCCAAACTCTTCTATTGTTTTGAAGCTAAAACTACAAATCATATAGTGTTTTAAAAATCTGAACTGTCCTGTAGTTTTTATACAGCAAGCTATCTGTAAGCTGTGCCATTTTGGTAATTAACTTATCTGCAAGTTAAGAACTATACTTATTAGTACCAACTTCAGCAAGTTATCAGATTCTAGAGTACTAAAGAAATTCAAAGTTGATTTATTAAATGCTTCTTTAAATACTTAACTTAATTACTTTTATCTTACAAGAAAATTATATACCCATAAGATTTTAAAAATGTTAATGGTTAGTACCTTGAAAAAAATGAAGCCACTGGATAATGAAATATTAAACTGTATTAACATTAAACTAATCACTTAAAATGGGGGTAGTTGTCAGGCCACCAGAATCCATAATTCACAAAGAACAAAGAAGTTAAAGCCAGGAAGCTTTCTTAGCAATGACTCCACCTATTTCCCAACACTTCCAAATTACTTAAGATGTGGATCATTAAAATCATTGGAGAACAGTAAAAACATTCCTGGATTAATTGAAAAGCCAAACAACACCTTTAAGAGACACGATGGAGTACATAGAGAAGGAAGATGGCAGGAGAAAACCATCCTTTGTAACCTACTCACATTTTGAGAATAAAAAAATATTTCTTTGCATTACTCCATCTTTCCATACTCTTCTACCATTCTTTAAAGTACCAATGCTCAGTTGTCTAGAGAGACTCCTTTGGGGATTTACGAAAATTTCTTGCTTAAGTGGTATTTTTTTGGACAACCGACTCATTAGATAATAACTAATTACTATTGGAGTAACATCTGTACTACAGCTGCCTAATGTTTCATTCTCTAGATCAGTGGTGGTCCGAGGAACACTGATGGTCCTTGTGAAGTCCGAAAGGTTGGCAACCACTGCACTAGATCATTGATTTTTTAACCTGGATCTAAGCAATTAGCTTCAGGGAACTTGGGAATCCCATAACTTATATACAGATTTTGTGTCTATATTTTGTAAGAAGTGTTCATGGTTTTAATCAGATTTTCAGGGGTATCCATTTATTCCCACATTTAAAAGTAGTGTCCACAAGAGACCATATACCACATTATCCCGTTTATATGAAATATGCCCAACAGAGAACTCCACAGAAACAGAACATAAGACTGGTTGTTTCCAGGGGATGTGGAAAAGGGGGTAAAGGGGAGAAACTGCTTAATGGGTACAGGATTTTCTTTAGAAGAAATGAAAATGGTTGGAAGTAGACAGAGGTAGTGGTTGCACATTGCAAATGTATGGATAACCACTGAATTGCTCAATTTAAGTGGTTTTTATGTTATCTCAACTTTGTGTCAATAAAATAAAGGGGTGGAGGGGTCCATTGCCCCTTCATTTAAAAAGTGTTTTTTAAGGATTCATGAATTTTCTCACCATCAAATATCTCTCTTAATAACAAATATGCTAAGCTCACTTGGATAGTGTATGGCTCTAGGACAGGGGTGGGCAAACTTTTTGACTCGAGGGCCACAATGGGTTCTTAAACTGGACCGGAGGGCCGGAACAAAAGCATGGATGGAGTGTTTGTGTGAACTAATATAAATTCAAAGTAAACATCATTACATAAAAGGGTACGGTCTTTTTTTTTTTTTTTTTTTTAGTTTTATTCATCCGGCGGGCCGTAGTTTGCCCACGGCTGCTCTAGGATCATCCTAATAATCTCCTTTAACATCTTTTCTCCACCTCCACCTCCACCTCCCAAACTTTCCTTTAAGAAGTGAGCTTTTCGCCGAAACCGGTTTGGCTCAGTGGATAGAGCGTCGGCCTGCGGACTGAAAGGTCCCAGGTTCGATTCCGGTCAAGGGCATGTACCTGGGTTGTGGGCACATCCCCAGTAGGAGATGTGCAGGAGGCAGCTGATTGATGTTTCTAACTCTCTATCTCTCTCTCTCTTCCTCTCTGTAAAAAATCAATAAAATATATTAAAAAAAAAAAAAAAAAGAAGTGAGCTTTTCATTCTAACTGTATAATTTAAGCATCCCAACATTTAAAAATGTAAAGCTCTTCAAGAAACAAAAATTAGTGATCAAAATTATTGGGAAACAGGAGTTATCAACACATACCAAAAGAATCCGAGAAATGAGAAGAAAATATTTGAAAAATGTATTATGATCAAAGAAGCCCTGGTATTCATTATATAAATAACAGTTAGACTATAATGGTACAAATACTAAAGGAAAACAACTATGTGAACTTGGAATAAAAAATTTCACAACATAACTTGTTCAACGTAAGTTGGAAACAGAAATGGAGAAGGCGGAGGGAACAAGGATACTAAGAACATGTGGTCAGATATGCATATAAAAACTATTCTAACATAAAAAATACAGAAATAGCAGAAATATGAAGCAAATCCAGGGTTTGTTGTTTTAATCATGTTCCAGCACTCAAGAGGCATTCGTAACTGAGACATCTGGGGCACTACTTAGGGATCACTTTCCCAAGCTTTTATTATTTTCAGGTTTATTTAGGAAACATAGGATATATTTTATCTACATAAATTTAAAACCTGTGACTTAGTTATTTACCTTTCAGTGACAGAAAGTTATGAGAAAAATTATAAAATTATAATCCCTAATGCAGTAACAGAGAATTATATTAAGAAATTATTGCCCTGGCTGGTTTGGCTCAGTGGATAGAGCGTCGGCCTGTGGACTGAGGGGTCCCAGGTTCGATTCCGGTCAGGCACATGTACCTTGGTTGCAGGCACATACCCAGTGGGGAGTGTGCAGGAGGCAGCTGATCAATGTTTCTAACTCTCTCTCTCCTTTCCTCTCTGTAAAAAATCAATAAAATATATTTTTAAAAAAATTATTACTATTTTTATTAATGCCGGTTTTCTGACCATGTTTTAATCTTTTCTTCAAGAGTTGTCCTTTAAACATAGAAGAGACACTTACCAACAAGGGAAAATATACTAACTTGTTCATTTGCATGAGCTCTGTGCAGTTCATGGACGTCAAAGTCCTCCAGGTTGAGCTGTAACTTCTCCTTACAGAGTTCGCAGGTGGTCACAGCCTCTAAGGAAGAACCTGGTGAAATATACATTACAAGTGAACCTTAGCTTTGCTATGGCTCCACAAAACATTTTCCTTATAAGTTTTAAGCTTAGGATATAGAAAATTGAAAGGGAGGGAGGGAAGAAGGTAGATTGGATTACTGCCATAAATTAGTCATATCTCCTAAAATAGCAATCAGCAATACCTGTGTGTCAGGTCCTACTCTGGTATTTAAGCCTCCACCCATTATTTATATACCTGTTATTTTTTTTCTACTAGATACTCATACATTACTGATCCCGGGAAGCTGATAATGGAATGCCATCTGCACTTCCTCCTTCACCCTTAAGTACATCGGCAAGATGGCATTAAAACAATCCTATATAATAAAGATATAATATGCAAATGGTTTTTACACCTTGACGCGTAACGACTGGCCGTGTAATGACTGGATCACGGATCAGCAGGAGGGTGGGGCAGCCGGCAGAGAGCTACAGGAGGGGGCAGGGCAGCAAGCTATGAGAGGGGGTAGGAAGGAGTGGGGAGCTACAGGAGGGCTGCAGTGAGCTACTAGTGCAGGGATTCATGCTCAGGGCTACTAGTGTTTAATAACATAGTATCTCGAACAACTAGTTGCATATACCCAGACCAGTATCTTTGATGTGACAATATATACCTAAGACCTTTCATGGTTTAAGGAATGTGCCCTCCTTAGGTTAGGGAAGGGGGAAAAAAAGCCACTTTTGTCCAGATCAAAACAGCTCCTTTCTATCATAAAAGGAATGGAGTCCTGATACATGCCACAACATAGATGAATCTTGAAAACATTATGCTAAGCAAAGTAAGGTAGGTACAAAAAGGATAAATACCTCATTATCCCATTTATATGAAATGTGAGGAATAGGCAAATTCAGAGAGAAAGTAAATCAGAAGTTACCAGAGATTGTGGTGGGGAGGTGGGAAGGGGAGAAGGGGAGGAGGGGAGGAGGAGGGCATTATTGCTTAATGGAAAGTTTGTTTGCAGTGATAAAGTTTTGCAAACATAATGGTGATGGTCACACAAAATTCTGGATGCACACAATGTCACTGAATTGTACTCTTAATAACGTTTAAAAGGAAAAATTTTACTGTGTGTGTGTGTGTGTATATCTATATATATCTATATATATGTATACATTTTTTTTTAACCACAATTTTTTTTTAAAAAGCTCCTTTTGTCTCATATGCATTCAACATTTGATTACTCTTAAGCTTCAGGTTCCAATTTAGTAGGTAGCAGTCTTGTTTAGTTAAACATAAAGCCATTTTCCCCACTGTATTTACTTTTAGATAGGGCTTTAAGTTGAAAAAAATGTTCTGAAAATTAAAGGAAGTCACATGAGTAACAGGGTATGTTTAAATTCTATTCAACTAGCATGTTGAGTGTTTGTTATGTGCAATATTACAGGTTTTGGAGATTCAGAAAAAGAATAACTAGTAACCCCTGTCTTCAAAGAGCTCATAAAACTTAGAATTAGTGCTACTTAATAACAACAATTCTTTAAGTAATAAAATTTGGCATGAAGTCCAAGAAAGCAGTAGTAACTTACATGCATTCTCTAGAAAATAGCTAAAAGAAACCATCAAAAAAATGAAAAAGGAACCCACTGCATTGGAAAACATTTGCCAATGATACATATGATAAGGGGTTAATTTCCAAAATATATAAAGAATTCATAAAACTTTACAAAAGACAAACAATCCAATTAAAAAATGGGTAAAGGACATAAGTAGATACCTTTCCAAAGTGGACACACAGATGGCCAAGAGACATATGAAAAACATCACTAATTATCAAAGTCACTAATCATGAGATGCAAATTAAAATGCTAATAAGGTATCATGTCACACCTGTTAGAATGGCCATCATCAACAATTAACAAATGACAAGTGCTGACAAGGATGTGGAAGAAGGGAACCCTCGTGTGCACTGCTGGAGGGAATGCAGACTGGGACAGCCACTATGGAAAACAGTAGGGAATTGTCTCAAAATACTAAAAATGGAACTGCCATTTGACCCAGTGATCCCACTGCTAAGAAACCAGAAACACCAACCAGAAAGAATGTATTAATTCTCATAGGAGCATTAATTTACAATAGCTAAGATCTAGAAACAGCCCAAGTGGCCATCCGTAGATGAGTGGATAAAAAAGCTGTGGTACATTTACACCATGGAAAACTATGCAGTTGTAAAAAAAGAAGGATCTCTTACACCCTTTGAGACAACCTGGAGGAACCTGGAGAGTATTATGTTCAGTGAAATAAGCCAGTCAGAGAAAGATCAGTATCATATGATCTCACTCATTTGTGGAATCTATTGAACAAAATAAACTAATGAACAAAATAGATCTAGAGACATAGAAGCATGGAACAGACTGACAAATCTCAGAGGAAGGTGGGGCTTAGGGGCAGAGAGGGTAAAGATTAACTGGGGAACTTATATGCATAGCCCATGGACACAGACAATAGTGTAGTGAAGGCCTGGAGGGGCTGGTGCAGGCTGCAGTGTGTCAATGGGGGTGGGGGGACAGGGGGGAGACAGACGGATGGACATTTGTAATACTTTCAATAATAAAGATAAATAAAAAAATAAAAAAAATCAATGGGAAAAAATAATAAAATTACATGTATCTATCTCACTTGGGAATCATATTCATGGCCACTGATTTTAATGAAACTGATACTTCCTAAAAACACCTTAGAATGGTATTTCCCCCACACATCAAAATCTCTAAAACTGTCCCCTAACCATCTGAAGACCTTATCTCCCTTAACTAAGAAAATAGAAGCAATTATATAGCAATCCAAGCATCTTTCTCACCTAAACAACTGATCAACATCCATATCTAGACTAGCCTTCTTGTAATTTTTTTAAAATACCTTTATTCCTATTAAAGGCTAACTACTTGACTTGTGCCCTGGATCCCATCTTTCTCTCTCTCTCCTCAATACAATCTAATCATGCTTATGACCCCAGCACTCCAGAGACAAGCTACAAAGGACATTCATGCCACCAAATCCAACTGTCATTTCTTTGTTTGTATCTCTTAGTAGTATATTTGACAGGCTTGATTACACTCTCCTTAAAACACTTCCTTTTCTTGGCTTGCACAACACTCTCTTTTTTAAGCTTTTTTTCTTACTAGATAAGACTGAGACCGCTCCTCAAATCTCCTTCTCTGCTCCCACTAAACGTTTGGGTGTCCCAAGGCTCTGTCCTGGGCTAATTTCTTTGATATATGTGCTTATTCTAAATCACCTAACTTAATCCCAATACTAAAAATATTACATATGTGTTTATGATTCTCAAAATTGTAATTTCCAGTGCTAATACCCTGTGAAATATCCAGCTTGTCTAGCAAGCTGCCAAATTGACATTTCCATCTGGTTAATATATATTTCCAAAACAGAACTCTTGAATTCCTTTCCCAAATTTATTCAATTCAGTCTTCTTTACTTCAGTAAATGAACCTACCATTTATTTTCTTAGCAGCTCATGACAAAAATATGGGCTTCCTAATTGTTCTTTCTCCTTCACTCCACCACATCCAATCCACATCCAATCCACCGGCAAGTCTTACAGACTCTACCTCCAATATATATAAAAAACATCTATTTGTACCACCTCTCTCTTATAGTAAGACAGATTTCTGGTAAGTTGCCACAATAGATTAATGGCTGGCTTCCCTGCTGCTACTCTTGTCCCCCTAAAATCCATCCTCCACAACGCAGCCAAAATAAAAGATCATTTCACTCTCCTGCCCTTCAGTGGCTTCCTCTCATAATTAAGATAAAAATCTAACTTCAGACATTAGCTTCTGAAGTCTTAAATGAGCTAGCCTCTGCTAATCTCTCTTATTTCAACTGTATCACCCCTTTCCTTGCCCACTAATTATACTCCAAGCAAGCTTCATTCAGTTCTAAGTCACTGCCACTTTAAAATCTTTGCACTAATTGTTCCCTCTGCTGGAATGCTCTTGCCCTCATTCTGGATTAGCTGGCTCTTCTTTGTTCAGTTTAAATGTCATCACCTCAACACGTCATTCCTTTAACACGCAATATTACCCCATAAGGCAAGTACCTCCTCTGTCTTGTTTATCACTTTATACCTCACATATAGAACTGTGCCTGGTTTCACAACAGGCACTTACTCAAGAAACAAATAAGTCTCTACAGTAACATTATTTCTGCACAACATTAGACAACAGCATTAGAAACAAATCTTTTCAAAAGGATCTTACATGATATAATGGTTACCTAGCAATAACAAATTATAGTTGTATTATAACTATGAAGTAAATTGTCTATTGGGTAAATGGAATATTAAAAATAGTAGTATAAATTGAAGTTATGATACAAGACTAATGTGCTTTAATGTTTTTGCTTCAAAAAATGATCAAGACACTTTGGTAAGAATATAAATTTGACAAATTGTAATGATTTGTTAATTAATATGCATTCATGCATACATCTCTTGGAAAAATTGTGAAAACAAAATACACAAAAAGGTTAAATCTTACCAGAGTTAATTTTCGCCTGTAACCACTTTTTCATACACTCTTGATGGACATACTGCAAACTTCCTGTGCACTTGCATGGCTCTATTAGCAAGTTAGATGATGATGCAGCTGCCATCTGACAAATTCTACATAAGTCACCTTCTTCTTCTTCAGAGTCCTCTAAAAGGAGGCTGGAAAATAAGGCAGATTTCCTAAACAGAGCTATCAAAGCTAATCATGATTGGTCATTTCGAGTCATATATAATCCCAAACAATACCTTTCTTTTATTTCTACTCTTTCTCTGATTAGGAAAAAACAACAGTAACAATAAACAGCAACCACCATGAAAAACCTTAACAATGAAAATTAAAATAAATATTTTAAAGGTAAATAAAATAAACTATCTTATTACTTATCTTCAAATGATTTAAGTAATTTTGTCTTTGGTACTACAGTTTAAGTTCCATATTTTTCAGTCACTTTACAAGTATCCCTGAGAGATTTTAATTTCTGTAGTATCATAGACTACTTCAATCCCACCCACCCCCCCATCTCCCCAAAAACTTTTATTTTTTTTATTTTTTTTAAAATATATTTTATTGATTTTTTACAGAGAGGAAGGGAGAGAGATAGAGAGCTAGAAACATCGATCAGCTGCCTCCTGCACATCTGGGGATGTGCCGGCAACCCAGGCACATGCCCTTGACCAGAATCGAACCCGGGACCTTTCAGTCCGCAGGCCGACGCTCTATCCACCGAGCCAAACCGGTTTTGGCTCCCCAGAAACTTTTAAAACAACTTGAATGCCTTGAAGAAATACAAACTAGTGACTTCTCATTTACATATTGTCAGAACAACTTATGTTCAAACTGATAAGCTTTTTGTATTAAATTACAGAAAAAACAAAATAGATTTAAAAATTCTCCATTTACCCCATCCCCAGCAATGTTATGTTAGTAAATCCTCTTTGGTAGGCTTTTAAGTGTGGAGCAGTTTCCATTAACCTATGTACTCTACTTAATAGGCCGACATGTAGAATAACTTAAATGTAGAATAATAGCTGTATAATAAATTAGTTTTTTGTTAAAATCCCTATTGGCTTAGCCCACTGCTAGCATGAAAGAGGTATTCAGTAAATTGATTATACTGAATGCTATTACTGAAATAAAATCTGGATTATATTGGTTCATAATAAATTTAACAATACTAGTAGATGTGTGGAAAGAGGAACAGGTATACAGCTGCTAGGTAACTTTCATGCCCTGGTTTAACCAGAGGTATGACTTCAAGCATAAATTTTTGTTTTACCTATAGATTTAAATTTCTACAGTTCATTGTTTTAATTATTCTTTACTTGGGAGATTCAATTTTTTTGCACTCTTATTATAGTAGCTTCCCCACCCCCCAATATTCAAGGGGTACATATCAAGATCTCCAATTCCAAACCCTATATATATTATGTTTTTCTACACACACATATCTAGAATATAGTTTAATTTATAAATTAGGCACAATTAAAGATTAACAACTAATGAAACAGAGTGATAACAACAATATACTGTAATAAAAGTAATGTGAATGTGGTCTCTCTCTTAAAGTATCTTATTGTACTGTTTGTACAGGGTGGACAAGCTGGACAAAGGAATGAACTACATAATAAACAGGACAGAGCCAGGTGGAATGAGATTTCATCATGATACTCAGAAAAGCATACAATATAAAATTTATGAATTATTTACTTCTGGAATTTTCCATTTAATATTTTCGGAACACAGTTAACTACAAATAACTAAAACCACAAAAAGTGGTAAGAGGGAACTACTATAATTTAAATGTAGTGCCTTAAAATCCTCATGAGCAAAAAATACAATAAAGGGTTACACACACACAAATTCTATGGCAAAATAACCAACAAATTTTTTAAAACCAACCAGAAAGGATGGTGCCAGCTTAATTTGTTTCTCTGGAAAACACTAAATTAACCTGCTGCTTACATCACTGCACTCAAATTAACCTTACTTGGGCACATGAAATATTTATAACTATTAGTTATAATAGCTGTAATAGTGATAACTACATTCCTCAGTAGACAGCTTGCAATCAGAGGGAGCTGCTACATTAATGTTAAAACTAATATTATCAGGGCAGAGAGTAAATCTTTCTTCAAGAAAGGAAAAATCAGAAATTTTAAAAGCAGGAAGAGTCACATGGTACAATTTGTCCTTTATAAGGAAGAATGGAATATAGTAGCCTAACGCCCAACATCTCAGAAAGCGTGTGAAGTTCCCTTTATCCCCAGAATTAGACTTGAATGTATTTCTTCTTAAAAGTACAAAAAAATGTATAAAATGATAGTAAATGCTATGTTCCCCCCAAATTAAATTACATTAGGCCTTTATGAACAAAAAACAACACTGTATAACCTTAGCTTTACAGTCTTTTCTTCCTATATTTTATATGTACTACCCTATCCCATTTCATCATTAAAATTACTTTACTAGATGGAAAAATATGATAAAATTAATAATCCAATTGGTTCTATAATCTCTGATCTTTCACCTTTCCACTTTACCAGACATTTTAAAGCAAACTTCAACTGTACAAAAGATTAGTATAAAGATTCTTTAAAAGTCTGAAATTTAAACTGGTCTATCAAATAAAGAATATTCAGTATATACTTAGAACTTCAAAAACAAAATTAAAAATATGTGTAAATAATTTTATGTTTAAAAGAAAAGGTGAGAATTAGAAATAGTAAATAAATCATCTCAATAATCCATAACCACTTGGGTCTCCTTACAAATCCAATTTGGCACTAGTCTACCAAGGACTAGTGTAAGAGATTAAGATTTTTATCTTTGTGTGCTTCCGTATCCAAACCTGTTTAAAAATAATCTTTAGATTATTTCTTCATGTAGTAGACACCTTAGTGCCTACTTCCATTATTAATTCTCATCCATTTTACCTTTAAGAGGTAACATCAATGCTAACATCTTACTATAAATTTCAAGGGAACAAATTTTATTTTATTTTTATTGATTTTAGAGAGGAAAGGAGAGGGAGAGAGATAGAAACATCAATGCTGAAAGAGAATCATTGACTGGTTGCCTCCTGCACGCCCCCAACTGGGGATCGAGCCCACAACCCGGGCATGTGCCCTTAACCAGAATTGAACCTGGGACCTTTCAGTCCCCGGGCCGACACTCTATGCACTGAGTCAAACCAGCCAGGGCCCAAGGGAACAAATTTTAGATATTAATGTTATAAGAAGCCTAAAATTTTAGAAATACTTTTTGCTCTAATCTGCTCTTGCTTTGTGGGATTAAGACAGGTATTTAAATTTACCTCTCTTTTATTTTCTGCAGTTTTTCTGGGTCTCTTGAAGGTGCACTTTTAGTTTTATCACTTTTCCCACCAGATGAACTCCAACCTGAAGGAATAATATCTACAGTGATCATGACATTATCGGTCAAATTACTTCCAAGTGTTGGGGGGACTGCAAATCGAAACAAGGAACCAGGAAGGATCCCTGTCATTCCTGTGTTTCTTCCACTGCGAGCCGAATCTGACATGGAGCCACCTGTAGCAGCACTGCTGGATGCTGCAGGTGTTTGTGATCTGTTGGCAGGAGCCCCAAGGTGATCACTCTGTGCTTCCAGGTGAACCACTTCATTTGATTCTCTTCTAAAAATATGAGATCGAGATTGTGTATCAGAAGTTGATATCCTTGAAGATTCATCTCGTCCCTCTCGCCTCCTTCTAGAGAACAAAGGTGTGCATCTATTTCTAAGTGAGGAAGATAACCAGGGTCCTGTATTTCTACCTTCAGATTCCTGGTTAAAATTTTCTGAATCTGGCTCAGTGCTATGATTTTGAGATGACAAACCCCATCTTCGCCTAAGAAATCGAAATCCCTGAGAAGTTTCAGATGCCCTATTATCAAGAACGTCGGAAGTTGATGCTGCATTACGAGACTGTGAAGAAATTCTTGGAGAAACATATGAATTTTCAGAGCTCAATGATCTTGTATTTAAGGATTCCTGACTAGACCTTCGTGAAAAAAAAGTAGATGACATGCTAGAAGCTATACGTGACAGCAATCTCCTTGTCGTACGTCTACCTTCATTGTCAGAAGATTCTTGAAATGATCTTTGAGATGAACCAATCCTATCTGAATTGCTTATGGCTGAGGTTTCACCTCTATTTGAAATATAAGAAAATCCAGGCTGTGTATTGCTTTGGAGAGACTCCAATTCTCTTGGAGAAAAATTTGATCTTACAGAATTTCTACTAGAATCCCTAGAGCACAGTACAGTCTGGCGTTCAGAAGGCATTTGTTGGTTTGTGGATGATGTATTCAGTTGTAAAGTGCTCACTGAGTTCTCTTTTGGTCTTGCTCCCTGTGAATATGAAGAAGGAACTCTGTCTTGAACATCTGTTTATGAAAGAAATGAAAAATAGCTAATTACATGAAATAAATAGACTACTAATAAAACTTGCATTTATTAATGACTAATTACTGCCAAAATGAAACACTGGTTTGAAACTGAATATTGCTACATTATAACCACACAGCTTAACTATTATTACAGAAAAAAAAACCATAAATGTGCTTCTCTTTCTATACATTTGGTGAAATCTAGCACTTTTATATAAAGTCAATATTATACTTTATACAGAATCTAAAAAGAAATGAGAGCTTATGAGAGGCAAACATCAATCTACCAACTTGATGAATGTAAAACAGCTAAATCTGCTGATCAGAAATTGATATGGTAGAATATCTAACATTTAAACAAATAAGGAATTTTAAATGTGCCAAATAATTCAATGTAAACGACTCTTGTACAAATTAAAGCACGAGGTGGGGGTGGGCTAGAAGGATCAATGGGGGGAAATGGGGGACAAATAATACTTTCAACAATAAAGATTTTTTTTTTTAATTAAAAATACCAAAACCAAAACAAACAAAAGCAAAATAATCCTAGGAAACAGTGTTTGGGAGATTTTTCTTACTCTGCAGTAAGCATAAAGGTTATTTCATCACACTTGTAATTTTATGGCAAACTCTGCTAACAGCTAAAAGTCCCCCCCTCCCCCCCCCAATGTAACAGCAGTGATTCTTATCCCTGGTTACTCATCTAAAATACTTTTGCTTTTTAATACTGGCTGACAGCTATGAGTCAGAATAGAGTCATGACATCTAAAATTTTAAAAGTACACCACTGGTGGTTCTAAATTTCATAGGGATGAGAAAATCTATAGCATTCCTTTATAAAGAATGCTTACCCATACACCTAATTTAAAAGCTAGATTCTACTGCGCTAATACATGCAGCATCAGGAAAAGAGAAACTGTTAGTGGATAAATCTATTCTACCCAGTACTTTTATATTCCCAAATCTAGAAGCTATTGATACTATCTACTAAAGGTCATCCATTAAAAGCCAAGCAAATAAAAAGATGTTTTCATTTGTCTTAAATAAAGCAAAGATATGCCCCAATACGATTATTTAAAATAAACTTGACCTTTAGAAACAAATGTATCTTCTATGTAAATCAAGCTCCACTTTTGCCTGCTATATTTGTCTACTTCATCAGCACTTTTTGTCTTCAGTTACTTAATATTATTGTTTTATGGTATTTATGTTTAAAAAGCTCAAGCTTATGTGCACTAACAGTGCGGGTAAAAGAAAACAAAGGCACATTTGTGTTAAATTAAGGTAATTTTAAATTGTCTTAAAATGGTGATTTCAAGCTTTAGTTAGTTTAGAATTTAACTATAATTGGTTACTTATTACATTACATAAGGCAAATTATACTGGAATATACAAGAATTGTTTAGTATACTTCATGGCACATATGTTCTTAAAAGAGCAAGTAAAAAATTTATCGGCACATAGAATCTGGATATTCATGCACTTTTAAATTGTTTACATTTTTAAAAGCCAACAAATAAGGTACTAGAAAACATTAAACTATTTTAAAATTTCCATAAAATTCACTTCATTTATTCTTTTGTACTGTAATTTAGTGATATAAAGAGGAAAACAACATTATCAGATTAAGTTATATGTAACAATACAGTTTATACATACACGATGAAGTTGTGAAATCACTACTTCGGTGACTATAGTCCATAAAATTACTAATGGAGGAATCTGCTCTCCTTTCTAAATCTCTCCTCTCTCTCATTAAGTCACTTCCAAATGATCCAAGTACCACTGATGAAGATCTGGGAACTTGACTATGTCTCCAAGAATCTTAAAATAATCAAAGAAGTTTTAATTCAGAGAGAGCTTCTAAGGTTTCTAATGACAAAAAAAAAAAAAAAATCTTCCATACTACACAGGGAGGTTGTAATTTATTACAGAAATCCCCATAGTTACACAGTTGTAATCAGAAGTAAAATTTGGCAAAACAGCCTGGCTGGTATGGCTCAGTGGTTCAGTGTCAAGCTATGAACCAGGAGGTCACTGTTCCATTCCAGGTCAGGGCACATGCCTGGGCTGCAGGCTCAATCCCCAGTAGGGGGTGTGCAGGAAGCAGCAAGTGATCAATGATTCTATCATCACTGACGTTTCCATCTATCCCTCTTCTTTCCTCTCTGAAATCAATAAAAATGTATTAAAAATTTAGCAAAACATAAAATTATTCACTAAATGAACTCATCACTTACAAAATTACTTCCTATTAAAACACATTCTTCTCTAACACTAAACTCTATCCTGCTCAATTCTTGGCTTGATCACCAGTAGGGGGCGTGCAGGAGGCAGCTGATTGATTTTTCTCTCACCTAGATGGTTCTCTCTACCCCCTCCCTTCCTTTCTCTAAAAATCAATAAAAACATGTTTTAAAAAAATATATAAAGAAATTGCTTACACTAATTTAATTGGTAATACATATGCATTTTAAGAATTTTATATCCAATCCTGTCATCACAAGTTTTGTCCCACCTTAAAACGATTTTAGGCATTGGATAGTTTTTCATTTGAAGAGTATAAGTGAGGAGGGAGCCTCCTAACATCTCAACAAAAGATCTTTTCAATTTGTACAACAAATGTGTCTGTGAGTACAAAATACCAAGCATAAAGCTTTACAAATAAGCCATCTAAATCCCAGAATGGTTAAGTGACTTGTACAATGCCAACATCTAATTAGAGGGCTAGAATCATGGCTTTCTGATTCCTACCATAAAACTAGTGGAATACCACCAACTATTTTTTAAATAAAGAATTTTTATATTTTCTAAACAATATATACCACAATGTTTCTCATTTATAAAAGACTAGAGGCCCGGTGCACAAAATTCGTGCACGGGTAGTGGCCCTAGCAACTGCTGGCTGCCAGCCAGGGCCTCCCTTTGTTCCGTGCCGCCCCCTGTGGTCAGCGCACATCACAGCAAGTGATCGAACTCCTGGTTGGTCAAACTCCTGAGGGGACACTTTGCTAGCTGAAGAAGATATAGATGTGCTTTGAAAATAATTGTCCACTTCAGAAAAATTGGCTTTCCTACTAACAAAAAATTTACCTCCTATAACAGAAGAAGAATACATGTCACTTTTAACAATTTGATCACCATACATTTTCGGCTATTCTAGTTAATTTTAATTCCAGCACTAATTTACTAGTAAGGGAGGATTTTGGAAACTCCACTGGCTCTATTTGCCTAATATATACCAGGTCTCGGGAAAAGAGCTTTAGTCCAAAATACATATGGTGTAACCCTTACATAAATTTAATTCTTACCTGATACTGCATTTAAACCATGTCCAACATTTCTCCCAGCTGAGGTAGATGTACAGTTTGTACAGGAAAGTTTAGGTCTTTTTGAATCATGATCCCGTAGCTGGTTTTGTGATCTTGAGCGTGCACCCTGAGTTATCTCAGATTCACTATACCATGTAGATTGAAATGGAGATGCAGCTGCTGATGCAGATGTAGACTGTTAAGTTTAAAAAAATTTTTTTAAAGGAATAAAATGCTTGCATTCAATATTAAATTTAATTGACAATATTCTAATACATTCCCAAGGACCAAATTTTTCTATCATGTATGTTTTCCATAATCTTTGTTCCCTTTAACCCACTGCCCCTTTATTTTATACTGAAATTGTATATGGTTGAGTAATAAATCTGAATTAGATTAAGTCTTCTATGTAACTGTATATAAACATCTGGCTAGGAAATACTCAAGAGCAAAAACTTTATTCATTTTGTTTTCTTGGTTTAATATTTCAACCTTCTGAGGAACCTGTTTCCTGTTCTTAGAGGTGGACAGAATGCCCAGAAAGACACTAATATATAAACTGATTGTGAACACTCTTAATAAAATTTTTCAAATAATAAAATTTATCCTGAATCTAATGCTCATTATTAAGAATATAGTAATACACTATAAACAGTATGTTTTTTTAAAAAAAAGAAACTACAACCCAATTATCTGGAATCTCTTCGTCAGTGAAGTAGATAAAAAAAGTGCATATTTTAAAACTCTTTGCTCAAGGTTTTCTCTATTAATGTATAAACTGATGAACACAAAATAAAACAACCTAAAACACAAAAGTAAAACAACCCAAAACACAAGTTATTCACAATGTACAAACTATTTTACTTCTTCTTAATTCATTAAATGGGTAGGCAGTATACCTAACATAATGCCTAAAAAGAGAAAATATTAACTTGTCTCCTTAAAAACATAGGTTTGAATAAGAACATAGTATTTTAACCACAATTATAGAAAGGGTCCTAAACTGACTAAAATAAAAGTGAGAGTTCTAGAGAAAATAAAAGAAAAATGTTTTATAATAATTTTAATATGTATGTGGTAAACAGTTCATCTTATTAAAGAATCTTAAAAAAGAAAAACAACGTTCTTTTAAGTGTTATACTTCTTGACAAGGGTTAAAAATGGAATATAACATGAGCCATAAATTCAGTCTGTTAACCTAACATTCTAATGATAAATATAAACCCCAAATAATGTGCACCATCAAAGAGTTCTAGAGTAAATATAAGAAACAATAAAAAATCTATGTATATAAAAGAGTAACATGCAAATCGACCGAACAGCAGAACGACTGCTTGACTAGTCACTATGAGGTGCACTGACCACCTCTCAGTCCCTTCTCCCAGCCATCAGGCTCCGATCGCCCCATGATGAATGGGGAAACGGGGGTGGGTGGCAGTGGGGGGTGGGGCCGGCTGCAGCAGCCGGGGAAGATGGCCCTAATCACAGGCCAGGCCTAGGGACTGTACCTGCACACGAATTTTGTGCACCGGACCTCTACTTATAATATAAATACAGACAGTCCTTGGGTTACGTCGGACTCGACGATATCATTTCATGGTTACATCATCATCTCCCATTGATTTATATAAAAAAAAAGTTCTGTCATTTCAACATGTATATATGTGCTTTATGTTTTTTATTATTTATTTACCACAAGGTCAGGAATTGTTATCTTTTAAATTTTTTTTTACTGTTTCACTTCATTATTGCTGTGTATGTGCTCCATGTGAGTGACATAGGTGCTTATGTAGGTGGGTTCCGACTTATGGTGAAAATCGTGTTATATCGCACCGTAGGAATAGATCTCCAACGTAACCCGAGGACCTACTGTAAGGCTATAATAGGAGCTATGTTGAAAGTTTCACAGAAAAGAGAATGCCTAACTATGCCTGGGGAGAGTAGGAGAGAATTCATAGAATGAGACAGAGTTCACCTGTAGGCAAATGAGGAGTATTATAAACAACACAAAAAAGATGCATAGCCGAAACCGGTTTGGCTCAGTGGATAGAGCGTCGGCCTGTGGACTGAAAGGTCTCAGGTTCGATTCCGGTCAAGGGCATGTACCTGGGTTGCGGGCACATCCCCAGTGGGAGATGTGCAGGAGGCAGCTGATCGATGTTTCTCTCTCATCGATGTTTCTAACTCTCTATCTCTCTCCCTTCCTCTCTGTAGAAAATCAATAAAATATATTTAAAAAAAAAAAAAAAGATGCATAAACCCCTCTACCATGGGCATTCTTCTAAAACAGTGGTTGCCAACCGGTGGTCCATGAGGTCCGAAAGGTTGGCTATTGCTGTTCTAAAGCATTACTACATTACTTGATCTTCTATTATGCTTAAATTATGAGAAGCATACTACATATATTCAGGGAATTCTACAGAATAAACTTCACATATATGGAAAAGCAGATGTAAAGCTGAAAAAGTACGAACAGACTAGATCAGGATTTTATCCATCCCTTGTCCAAGAATATTTTGCTAGTTGAATGTGGCACTCTTCAGCTTAGCACAAACTTGGTATCACAAGCCTTCTGCCCCCAATCAATGAACTGTGTTAGCACAAGAGATAAATTCATTAGGTATTTCAAAACCAAATCATTTTATGTGCCATTATCAGAGTATTGGGAAAATTATCCTGCATGCCAGTGATTTAACACCTTTAGATTTCAGAGAACAAAAAAAAAAATGTTATAATTCAAAATTTGGAAAGAGCCACTTTTGACAACGAGATCTAAAATAGCAAATACCATCTAATCTTACCCCCATTTAAAAAAAACTGATCTTAGAGAAAAAAAAGGGGGAGAGGGAAAGGAGAGAGAAGACATAGAGAGAGTGAAAAACATGGGTAGGTTGCCTCCCCCACATGCCCTGATCAGGGATCATCAAACCTGGGTATGTACCCTAAATAGGAATCGAACTCGCAACTTTTTGGTGTATAGAATGGTGCTATAACCAACTGAACCACACCGGCCAGGTCTTATCTACAAATTTTTAAAAAGGGCATTTTATGTGCTCCCCAAACATGAGGGTTATAATAGAATTAAACAAACTTTTAATGTGAATACATTTTATATGCACAAAATCCATAACTTGCCCTTATTTTTCTAATTATGCACGGACTACACAAATTGTTACTGTATAGTTCTTCTGCAAATAAATATGATTTTGGAAACTACCCAAGGAGGAAATGCTATCAGATCAACTTCTTAGAAATATCCTCAGAACATTGTAGAAGATGAAAAGGGTAGAATGGACAGAAGGTAGCAGTTTCATTATGCTAGGTATATACACTTATAGTATGAACATTACATGACAACAGTCCATTATATTATTCACTGTCCCCTTTCAGACCAGAGTGCTACAGGGTTGCTTCCTTTGAGAAATGGGTTATTTCTTTTCCTTATGAACAAAACACCTTATAAAGCTGGTTGTGCTTCAGTGTGATCTTCCTGGCGCCCAGAACAAGAAAGAGTCCAAGTTTAACTTTAAAACACTGCAGAGCTTATGAATGCCTCTTGATGTTATAACCTTGACCCACTCTCATGGGTAATACATGAATACATGTATTCACATGTATATACATATTTATTTCCATGGGAAGTACTTACAGTAGATAAGCATATACACACACAAAAATTAATTCTTTTAATCCTTTAATTCTCTAGAAACATAACTATTTAAATATATGCAATGGTATTAAGTTCTATAATAGTTGATCTACAAATTAGAAAAGATGTCACTAACTGAAAAAAGCACCTAGAACCTCATAAATCTCATAAAAAACCTACTTTATTATTTCGTATTAAAAGTAATCACTATCAACAAAGCAAAAAAAACAAAAACAAAAACAGGAAAAGCTGCTTAAATTAAATTATAGAACACATAGAAAAATAACAATTACATATTCATAGAATACTCCCAAATTTTTTATTATCAACAGTCTAATAGGAAATAAAATTTCTATTTAAAATATCTAAAATTCTGCTTATTGTTACCAAAGAGATGAGATGATCATAGTTTTCAACCATTCAAATTTTAACCAAAATTTAAAGGTGGAGTAACAGAAATATCAGCAAGATTAACAATAGAGGCAACATGGCTTTCAAATGGCCGAGAATCCAAATATATTTAGCAAATCAACTGTTCGAAACTTAGAACCTCCATTTCCCCAAAGAAACAAAGCTATCCAGAAGTCTAATAGATTCTTAAGCTCAGGAACATATTTACTAATCATGTGATTTTCTAAGAAAAATCACTAATCTTTCCAGATTTTAGATCCTTATTTTATGAAATGACACGTATGTGTCCTATATGAGTAAAACTAAAAGTCAAAAATATTCATGCAATGTCAAGCACTATATAAAAATACGATATTTCCATATTATTTAGTCCATAGCGTAACTGAAATGATAAAAAAATGTAGGCGCTAACATTTATGTAGTGTTTACCATGTGGCAGCTCTATTCTCACTCAATGTATTAATTCATTTAACTCTAACAACCCAATTGACTAAATAATATGGAAAATAAGATGTGAAGTAACTTGCTTGCCCAAGTTCACATAGCTATGAGTGAAACAATACTCCAATCCAGGCCATATCGTCTGATTTCAGAGTCTTGTGTTTCTCACTAAGAGGCTGTATGAAAAATTATACAAGCATCAGAAGAGAAATTTCTATAAATGGGGGGGGGGGGACGGACGGACGGACAATTCTGTGCTCTTAGTAAGTAAAACATCATTTAACCTACAACATTTCTATAGAATACAAAGGATGTGATTCTGGGCCTCTGGCAAGTATACAAAACAAAAACCGACAATATAAATTAATATTGAAAATGAGACTAAGTAAATAGTTCATATAAAGTTTATGAGTTTGTATGTAGATATGGACATTTTAGAAAAATTACTTTTCACTTGTCTTTCTCTAAATATTTTATAAAATGTTTTTTACTATGTAGTAAATGTCATATACTACATCACATGATACATAGATATAAAATACTTGAAATTTTCACTAAAGGATTCTCTTAAGATTCAGTTACCAAAACATTAGACTCTAGCAAATCAAGTGTGATTTAATTAGCTGTTCAGACAATAATGCAATAAACTTAAATGTAAAAGACAAGATAAATTGCACTAAACTTACAAGTCATGCCATCTAAGATTTATAGCTTTATACAACTATGTTATAACCCTAATAAACCTTTCCAAAAACTGAAGGAAAATTAGTTACATTAAGAGTAGCAGCCCTAACCGGTTTGGCTCAGTAGATAGAGCATCGGCCTGCAGACTGAAGGGTCCCGGGTTCGATTCCAGGCAAGGGCATGTACCTTGGTTGCGGGCACATCCCCGGTAAGGGGTGTGCAGGAGGCAGCTGATAGATGTTTCTCTCTCATCGATGTTTCTAACTCTCTATCCCTCTCCCTTCCTCTCTGTAAAAAATCAATAAAATGCCCTGGCCGATTTGGCTCAGTGGATAGAGCGTCAGCCTTTGGACTGAGGGGTACCAGGTTCAATTCCGGTCAAGGGCATGTACCTTGGCTGCGGGCGCATCTTCAGTGGGGGGTGTATGGGAGGCAGCTGATCGATGTTTCTTGCTCATCGATGTTTCTAACTCTCTATCCCTCTCCCTTCCTCTCTGTAAAAAATAAGGTATTTTTTTTAAAAATCAATAAAAAGTATTTTTTTAAAAAAGAGTAGCACATGTAGCTTTATATAGATTATGAATTAGTGCAGTCATTACTAACCATAAAAGTCCCAAAATTTGTCCATATTGCAAAAAAAACACAAAACAAACACTTGACAATGATTATTCTACCACTGCCTTGTATACTCACAGAGAAAAGTCAGATATATGAATGTAACGTTAAAGAAAAAGGATGCAATTTCCAGCTTTCTGACAGTCACCTAAATTGATTAACTTAATTAAATGTATACTTAAATTGATACTTTTTTTTAAGTAAAAAAGTTTCCAAGTCTTTGCAAAGTATGATCATTTTTATTAAGATCACAATTCCTCATTCATAATTCTGAAGTTCCAGAAGTTTGAAAACCATTAAGTTTTTGCTGCTTGCTATAAACGATCATTCATTTTGCTGCAGACATAAGTTTTGATGCCTCAAATTCAGCTAAGGGTATTCTAAAAATATTCTACTACTTACCTAAAATCCAAGACACACATGGCCCCAAGGATTCTGAAAGAGAGACTGTATATATATTCCATATTAAGAAATTACCTGATAATCAGAATCCAGTCTAAATGAAGAGTCTCTTGAGTGATAGGTATCATTTAAACTACTTCCTCTGTTTCCAGACATCATCCTAGCACTTAAAGAGCTGGGGGGTTGAACAGAAATTCTTCTTGGAATCCTTGAAGGTTTAGACTCCATTCTTAAGGTTTCCTGTGAGGTACAAATTTTGATGAGTTGCCTTTGGGAAAGCATGCAGCTCAAATCAAGAATTACCCATGCAAATTAACTATACTCTAGTATGTAGCATGATAAATTATAAGACTATCATCACCCCGCCCCTCTTCTATAAGGCAGAGGTTCAAAATCTATCAAAGGTTCCCTACTGTCCATAATATGAAGCACACAGAATAAAAGTGAGATGAAGAACTGAGGTTTGTTGTTTCCAAAGCCTGGGCTCTTTTCCTTATTCAATTTTTTTCTCCATATAAACTCCTACACCAATTTGCCCTTGATTATCTTGCTATTCTTACCTATTATTGGTGTTCAATACTCTTACCATGAACATTAGCTATTTGTACACCCCTTAACACAAAATGCTCTCACAGGTCTTTGTATGTGTCTGGAAAAGTCTACACATTACCATTCAATTCCTGGATAAGGTCTTAAAAACAAGCACTTTTCTTTTTGTGCCTCCACTTTATACATACTTTTATTAAAACACTAGAAGCCTGGTGCATGAAATTCGTGCATGGGGGGAGGGGTGTCCCCTCCTCCTGGCCTGCACCCTCTCCAATCTGGGACCCCTGGCTCCTAATCGCTCACCTGCCTGCCTGATCGCCCCTAACCACTCTGCCTTCCTGCCTGATGCCCGTAACTGCTCTCCCCACCTGCCTGATCGCCCCTAACTGCTCTGCCTGCCTGATCCTCCTTAACTGCTCTCCCCCGCCAGCCTGACTCCCCTAACTGCTCTTCCCTGCTGGCCTGATCTCCCTAACTGCTCTCCCCTGCTGGCCTGATCCCCCTAACTGCTCTGCCTGCTGGCCTGATCGCCCCTAACTGCTCTCCCTGCTACCATGGCTTTGTCCGGAAGATGTCCGGTCTAATTAGCATATTACCCTTTTATTATTATAGATAATGCTAAGACTCTTTCCTGTTTGTTCCTACAATGCTATTGGAAGACTGAGAGATTTTACTCTTGGATCACCAAACAAAACACAAGAGTTAGGATTTCTGGATGTCAACCTTTGGAATGGTCCCAATTACAAAGTAGCTAGCTAGCCACTTGATCACCCTACCCTACAGCACAGTCACCAAGAGTTTCTAATCAGCTGTTTAGTACTTCCCTCTAATACACAAACATCAAGGATCACCAGGCATCCAAGGAAGGCCTCTAATATGAATGACCAAAGTAAACAACAAAAATTTAGAGAAAATTTGAGGAAAGGAGCTAATTACTATCCTCAAAGGGATAAGACATTCATTTATAAAATAAGAACAGGATGCTTGAGAAAGCAATCAGACTACAATGTGCTGTGCATTTTAAAAATGTGGTATTTTTAAAAATGTGATATTGAAATAATCAACATAAACAAGTTGAGTGAATCTCCCTGAAGTAGAAAATGTGCTAGTAAATTAAAAATAGGAGAATTGCCAAAGGGAGTTATGATTAGACTATAATATGGTTACAGAAGGAGAGGAAAGAAAAAGTTATCAGAGGAATCAAAGAACCTTTCTAGGATTAAAGGATATAAATCTTCACACAATGAAAGGACTACGGTACTCAGCAAATCAAAGAGAGACTAACACTAAGCACAATTTAGCATCTTACAATTTCAGAACACCAGAAATAAAAGAAAGTTATAAGAGTGAAATAGCAGGTGACATACAAAAGTAATTAGAATGGCTTCTTCATTACAACTTTAAAAACTTTTAAGATAATGAAGTAATAACTGTAATACTGAAAAGAGTGTTTAGCCTTGAATTCCAATCTGACAACTAAATGTAAGATGGAGAGGACACATTTTGAGACATCAAGATCTTTAAAAAAATCAATCACATGCCCGGCTGGTGTGATTCAGCAGTTGAGCTTCGACCTATGAACCAGGAGACCAGGGTTCAGATTCCTGGTCAGGGCACATGCCTTTGTTGCAGGCTCACTCAATCCCCAGTAGGGGGGCATGCAGGAGGCAGCAGATCAATGATTCTCTCTCATCACTGATGTTTCTCTATCTCTTTCTCTCTCCCTGAAATCAATAAAAAAAAAATTTAAAATTATTTTAAAGAAATCAATCACAAAACAAAAACTGAAGGAAGCTAAAAGAGCATGTGGTAGAAAAATAGGAGTGCAAGGATCTAAAGAACCAAACACAATACCCAGGAAAGTTTACAAAGGTATGAAGAAAGCATAGGGAACTTACTGAGACTGGAGCAGGATCATAGATAATGGAAGTAAAGTACTAAGAAAAAAAAAAGCATCTAATAGAAACTATTCTGGCAAAGATGATACAATTGGAAAAATGCTGAACAAACGGCAGTTTAATAAATTAATTTTCTAAGTTGGGAAAACAGCTACTGTACAAGAAAGAAGGTACTGTTTTGGGATGAACACAATATTTACAGTTTTAATTATATAACTAGTCTATTGATTTGAGACAAATATGCTGTGGGATGAAGATGGGTAAGGGAAATAAAAAAGACAATGGTGAGTAAGGAAAACACAGAGAATACTGAAAAATCATCAACAGTTTAAATACATCATTTGGAAATATGAAAGTAAATCTTAAAAGAGCTAAAAAGTTGAGGGTTGCTGCCTTTGGAAAGTGGGATTGGGAATGAGGTAGGATGGGGCAAAAAATCAGTTTTCGTTTTAAGCAGGATGACTGTATTTCCTGGTTTGCCTAGAACAGTCCCAGTTTATGGCCAGAAAAGTCCTAATTTGTGCTCATTATCTCAGGACAATTATTAATAGTGCTTGTGCTGTCTCTTTGGCCTGGTTTGGTTGGTAAAGCATATGATAGCTTTAGCTTTTTATAAGCTATATATATTCATGTCTGAACAAATTTTTTTTTAACTAAAAAGAGGTGTATTATGAATTGGACTTTTAAAGAAAGCATACATTAGTACAAAGAGTATTAATGGTTAAACACTGACAGGCTTTAAAAAGTCCATAAATGATTTAACAAGTAGCAGACTTGTTATTTTATCAAAAAATCTATGAAAATACAAACAAGGAACTGTATTTGTGACTTGAGGATTTTAAAGAGGTAGACAAAGTGCTTTTTAAAAGATACAGGCCTACAGATGGTTTTCAATAACAATGATGCTTCTAAATCATACTTGTTTACTTTGACTATATTTATATCCAATACTTACTTGCATACTTGCAGAATGAAACTAACCTAGTAGGAAATCTGCTTAAAACAAACCTCTTGAGAGAAGACAAAGAGGCAGAGTCCTCTGAGAGATATGTTATATTATATGAAACTATTCTTGGCAACTTCTCTACATAAACTGATGGAATTTCTACAATGTAGGTGTTACCAGAGAACTTACATAATATGGTTGCATAAGTTGTAGGTCAAAAGCACAAAAAATAGCAACTTAAAATGCATAGTCCTTGAAAAACTTCTACCTGACCACTTGCAAGGTACTATGAGGCATCTTTTTAAGTTTTTTCATTCATTTAACAGATAGGTTTTTTTAGGCGCTTAGTATGTGATAGACACATTAAAATTAATACTAAACAAGGGTTTGAGTTGAGGGGACATCGAACATATTGGGATAGCGATTATCAAGAAGTTATAATCTAGTAGAGAACAAACACAAATAACCACATGTCACAAAGAAAAAATATAAAAGTACTGTACTCTTTTAGTTTGAGACTAAAGAAACAAAATCCAATGCAATACACGAACCTTGGCTGAATCCTGATTCATAAAACAGAAAGTATGAATGAAGACTGAATTTTAGTAAAGTGTCATGATGTCTGCAACTTAGTGTTAAAAACTTCAAAATAACATTACATATTTTACAAAGTAAATACTATATGTACGATTATATATAACATCCTATATAATAAAAGCCTAGCCCTGGCCGGTTTGGCTCAGTGGATAGAGCGTCAGCCTGCGGACTCAAGGGTCCCAGGTTCGATTCTGGTCAAGGGCATGTACCTTGGTTGCGGGCACATCCCCAGTGGGGAGTGTGCAGGAGGCAGCTGATCTGATCGATGTTTCTAACTATCCCTCTCCCTTCCTCTCTGTAAAAAATCAATAAAATATATTAAAAAAAAATAAAAGCCTAATATGCTAAGTGTCCGGTCGACTGTCCAACCAAAGCATAATATGCTAATGATATGCTAAAGCCATTCAACCACTTGCTATGATGTGCACTGACCACCAGGAGCAGATGCTCCAACCGGTAAGTTAGCTTGTTGGTGGGGTCTGACTGAGTTGGGCTGGACATGCCCTGGAGCCCTCCCATGGTGCCTCCACAGCTGGCCAACCTCTCACGTTCCTCCCTGGCCCCGATCGTGCACCAGTGGGGTCCCTCGGCCTGGTCTGCGCCCTTTCACAATCCGGGACCCCTTGAGGGTGTCAGAGAGCCGGTTTCGGCCCCATCACGTAGGCCTGGACGAGGGACCCTACTGGTGCACAAATTCGTGCACTGGGTCTCTAGTATATAGATATAATAAATGTGACAAATTATCAACTACTGAATATAGGTGAGGTCATCCAAATATTAATTTTACTATTCTCCCAACTCTTCTCTACTTGAATATTTTCCAGCAAAATAAATCAAAATTAAGGGGGGGGGGGGGAGAGTACTCCATCTTTGCTTAGTATGTAGACAGCCACAAGAGAACATCATTCCTACTCTAACATAATAAGGGTAAGCCAAATAATCTATTAAATCACTTTTCTTGAGTCCACCAGAACTGAGGTTGCAAGGCACGAGATGAATTGAACTACAAAGAATAAGTCCCTCTGACACGAAGAGATGGGACAAAGGTGGCCACCATAAAAGCTGCTAAAAAAATAGCCAAATTTTATCAAATTCTTAAATTCCTGAAGGCTGAATATTTGCTAGTGTGACAGTTTAGAAACTCTGGGAGCCCCAACATAAGGCATTTTTTCCATAGTTCTACACTGAGTATTCCTAAGAAAGAGGACAGACAGGCTATATGAAGTCTCTTTTTCTGTAGTATGACCACA